CTTTGGTTGGAAATGATTATCACAGTTACAAACAGAATAAATGAAATAAAAAAAAATTAAAAAGCTGCCTATTAAAGCCACATTTAAATTCACCAACATGTAAAGTGAAGACTACTGAACTATATGTATGTGTGTGTATGTATACAGACCCTTTCCAAAAAATTAGAATATCATGGAAAAGTTTATTTCCATAATTCCATTCAAAACGTTAAATTTTCATTGATTATAGATTCACGGCCTACAGCTTAAATGACTTCAAGTACTTAGTTGTTTATCTGTACATAATTTGGGCTTCCAGCTCATAAAACCCACAAAAACCGGAATTCAAAAGATTAGAATACCGTGAAGACATTAGCATTTACTTCTCAGTTTTTGCATTTAAAAAAAAAAAAAAGGATCACATCAAGTCAATTAAAAATGGGGTACTTTCAAAACGATATGTCAATCTTCAATACTTGGTTGGGAATCCCTTTGCCTTAATCACTACCTCGATGCGGCGTGGCATTGCCTGGGAGTCGTGGAAGCCCAGATTTCCTTGATGCTTGCTGTCAGCTCTAAAGGTTTTTGGGTCTGGTGGACTTCATTTTCCTCCTGATAATATCCCATAGATTCTCAATGGGGTTTCGGTCCGGCTGGCCAGTGAAGGACTGTGATGGCATGGCCATCAAACCAGGTTTTGGAGCTTGTGGTGGTATGGGCAGGGGCCAGGTCCTGCTGGAAGATGAAATCTCCATCTCTGTACAGATCCTCAGCAGAAGGAATTGTGAAGTTTTCTAAAACATCCTGGTAGACTGCTGCAGTGACCTTGGATTTAAAAAAGAGTTTACCAACACCTGCACCGGACTTTGCACCCTAAATCATGACTGACTGTGGATATTTCACACTGGACCTCAAGCAGCTTGGGTTCTGTTCCTCACCCGTCTTCCTCCAAACCCTTGGACCTTGATTCCCAAATGAAAGGCACACTGTACTTTCATCGGAAAAGAGGACCATGGACCACTGGCCAACAGTCCAGTCCTCCTCCTTGGCCCAGTTGAGTCGCTTCCGACGTTGGCTCGGGCTCAGAAGTGGTTTGACCCGAGGAACCCGACAGTTATAGCCCATATCCTGGATGCATCTGAATGTGGTGGATTTTGAAGCTGGATCTCTGCCATATTCTTAAATCTTCTGTTTGATAATCTGCCGAAGGCCACTGTCATCTCTTCTGCTGGTGCATCTTCTGCCACATTTTGCTTTTCCACTAGACTTTCCATTGATATGCTCAGACACAGCACTCTGTGAACAGCCAGCCTCCTTAGCTATGAACTTTTGTAGCTTACTCATCCTATGGAGGGTATCAGTGATGCTCTTCTGGCCAGTTGTCAAGTCTGCAGTCTTCACTATATTGAACCTAACTGAGACAATTGAAATAAACTGAAGCAATTTAATGACACCTGGGAAAACCTGTGCAGGTGCTTTTAGTTTAGTAGATGAGTTTGTGTGTGACACTGTTAAAACATTCATGCCCTGTAAAATTTGGAATGATATCTTCATGGTATTCTAATTTTTTGAATTCCTGTTTTTGTGGGTTTTATGAGCTGGAAGCCCAAATTATGTACCAATAAAAAAACTACGTACCTCAAATCATTTAAGTTGTGGGTCATGAATCTATAATCAATGAAAATTTAATGTTTTGAATGGAATTATGGAAATAAACTTTTCCATGACATTCTAATTTTTTGGAAAGGGTCTGCATGTCTGTATATATAGGTAGGTAGGTGTGTGTGTGTGTGTGTGTGTGTGTGTACGTACGTGCAGACAAACAAAATCTCATGAACCACCTTTAGCAGGAATAACTTGAACTAATTATTTTTGTCTGACTTTATCGCTCTCTCATATCATGGTGGAGGAATTTTGGCCCACTCTTCTTTCCAGTGTTGCTTTAGTTCATTGAGGTCGGTGGGTATTTGTTTATACAGAGCCACAGACTCACCCCACAGGATTTCGTTGAGGTTGACATCTGGACTTTGACTGGACCATTGCAACACCTTGATTTTTTTTTTTCCCCTCTTGCAGTCGTTCTGTTGTAGATTTTCTTCTGTGCTCGGGATTATTGTCTACTTCACGACACTATTTAGTATCATTGATTCAATGACTGCAGGCTGTCCAGGTCCTGTGGCTGCAAAACAAGCCCAAATCATCACCCCTCCACCACTGTGCTTGACAGTTGGTATGAGGTATATGTGCTGATATGTTGGAGGGGTTGTTTAGTTTTTTTAGTTTTTTCCAAACACATGCAAATCTGAAAATCTAAGTCATGCTGCCATGTTCTTTTTACAAAGAAGAGGTTTTCCCTGCAACCCTTGCAAACAAGCCATACTTGTTCAGTCTTTTTCCCATTGTAGTGTCATGAATTGTAAGATTTAACATGTTTCTATGAGCACTGCACAGTCTCACCTTTGGGTGACGTTATTGTGAAGATTGTGGCATTGTATTAACACAACGGAATGGACCAGACCAGCAAACTGCCACAACAACGTCTTTTATAACTGATGATCAGTTAATTAGGTGCAGCTGATTAGTTGCACCTGGCTGCTACTAACCCTCACATTTCCTATGGAAACAGTAGGGATGCACTTAATTTTTAACAGGACTGTTGATAATCAACAGCTGATGCCAGGGGGATTTTCAAAAAAGGATTTTTGGTCTGTTTCCACTTTATTAAAGGGAAATGTAATGTCTTCATTGCAGAAAAAACCCCACTTTTGAAGCATTTCAGCCCTTCATTATTGTTTTTGAATGAGCTTGGGTTTATTCATTTAAAAAAAGGAACTGGAATTCGAAACACCACAGAAACGGACACAAAAGATTAATGACAAACCGATCCGTCCCTAGATAAAACACATGCAAAACAAGTCTGATCAACGTGGGCACATTGTCATACATAGGATCATGTTATTCAACGCAGTCTCCCTTAGAGGTCAGGTTTATCAGCTGTTCCAAAACTTCATCGATCTTCACCAGCAGGTGAACTGTAGTTGTTTAGATTATTTCACGTTTTCAGTTAAATCTAATGGAAGAGCTCCTAAAGTGAACCCTGAAGGGAGACGGTTTTGTTTTCTAGATTTATGGTGATTCTAAAACTGTTTGCACAAGTGGACTGTAATGTTTCAGCTCTGTTTGTGAAAGTCATGTTGGATTATTTTGGGATATTGAAGTTTCCCTCTTTCCATTTGGAGCCACAAACATGGAAAGTTGCTAAAAACAGATTGAACTTTCTCAGTTTGCCTCACTCTCATCCTGCCCTGGACATTTTGGATATTCCGATTTGTAGATGACCACTGTGGAGTGGCTTTTTTTTTTTTTTTTCCCTTTTCTAACTAAATAAACTGTGACAAAAAACCCACGATGGAGACCATCTAGCCTGGATCTCTGATTAGCAGAGTGAACAGCAGCTCCCCTCATTGCTGTTATGGCACTGAGGGCTCTAAGCCAGACCATCCAAATGCTGACGTCACCCCCCCTCATCCCCACTTCTGTGCACTGCAAGGAGCGGGAGGGGAGGGATGGAGAGAATAAAGTGATTGGTTTACCGACCCCCTTCTCCATGACACATCATGAAAATAAAAGTGCCGGAGGCCTAAATTATCACATTCACCTTAACCGTGCACTCTTAGATGTTGTTTTAGAGACAAATCCAAACCAGCAGCTCTGCCTGTGGCTAACAGGCCTCCTGACCACAATGTCTGGATAAATAAATAAACAAAGTGAGGACAAAGGTCACCATAAGTTTCAGGATTTATTTTTTAAACATAGGGTTTCCCTCACTCACATTTTTTCGGTTCTAGTGACCAAATCATGCCTTGTACCACCGGGTTTTTGAGTAGTAATGTGTTCTTTTTTTTTTTTTAAACTACCTGGCTCCTCTGCTGGTTGAAGTGTAAGAAATATATCTGCCCTGTTTTGTTTTGTTTTTTCCTTTTTCTTGACCTCCCACTTGTAGGATCACTGACGTGGACAACGGAGCTGCTCTCACATGAAAATAATTTCCTGAAATAAATAAAAGATTAAGTGCCACACCTAGTGGCTGAAGGGGGTAGAGCATTTACAACTTGGATTCCACTGGGTCAGAAAACATCAGGAGAAAATGGTATTCTGCACACGGCCACGTTTATGTGTGTGGCTGTTTTACCTGAAGCCCTCCGTCACCAACTTTAATACGTTCATTGCCCTTTGTAATCACTCATCTGCAGGTCAGCCGGCAGTCTGAATGTCAGGGGGGAGGGGGGGTAGTGGACGAGCTCCAGCTTTCCCCCACGAGGTGAGACGCTCCTGACTGAAGGAGAAGGCTCACCGACTTGGATATGTCCTTTCTTTGGGGTCACGTGGGTCACCCTGGAAGGCCCGGCATGAGGGGAAAAGCGGAAAAACTCCCAGAAACGATTGAATGATTGATCCAAGTTCCACAATTAAAGCCTCTCCGACGATTAGCATTAATTTCAGAGAGGGGGTGGGGGTTGGAGTAAAATAGGCGTGACCATATGGGTTGACTTTACCCATGCTATTACCATAAATTATGCAGATAATTTTTCTTTTTCGTGGGGTGAACCTCTAATTATTAAATAGGGCCATCGTCAGTGGAATAAAGCTCAACCGAGATAGACTGGCTGTGCAACAATTACATCTCCAGTTGAGAGGAGTCAAAAACTTTGATTTGAAACTTCTGACGAAGGGCAAAGGGGCGTGTTTGGATGATGATTTGGGTCCTAAATAATCTTGTCGTTTGGCAGAAAAAAAGTCCATTGTATACGGACTGCAATCCCATTATCCAGAAACGAATACATCAACTTTTTTCTTTTCTTCTTGAATGACGATCCAGCTTTTTTCTTAATGCTCACTAGGACCCAGAGGCAGCCTCGGATCGGCCAGTGTGGCCGAGTTTGCGCTAGGGGGCTAGGGGAAGGAGGGGAAGGAGGGGAGAGGAGGGAGGGTGGGGGGAATACAAGAAATGTCATCTCGAACATCTGAAATAAGGAGCAACACACAACGCGAAGAGTCTCCACACGTGACAGCGACACGGCGCTTATATCTGGCAAAAGACAGCAGCGAGCATCAGGACCGATCGGGAGTTCCAAGTCACCGCTCAGTCTGAGCAGCGCGCAAAACGCGGACTCACTTCACCGGCTCTCGTTTTACGCTCTCAAACAAGCAACACATGTGTTTCTGCTGGAAGCCAAGTGGACGAGCCTGAGAGAGGAAACGCAGGTAAACGGAATCTAAGCACCCCAATTTTTCCCCTTTCTTTACAGAGAGGAGGAAAGGACCCCCTCCTCCTCTTTCTCCTCCACCACCTCCCCTTCTTTACCGCTACCACCTTTTTCCTCCTCCTCGGACCTCTGTTCTCTTCTGGAGACACAAGTTTCTCTCTCTCTCTCTCTCTCACTCACACACACACACACACGCACACACACAGGGATGCTGCACGTTCCCCATTCGCACTTGCACTCAGAGGTGGGAAGCTGAAAGTGGAACCGGAGCGGAATTGCACTTAATCTTGTGAAAGGTACACAACATCACGTTACTCACGGAGCGTTATTATTATTTATTATTTATAATTTTTATTTTTTGGCGACCACTACGCACAGTTGCCTTTATTTTTATTTTTTTTTAGAGAGGGGTGCCCTTTGAGCTTTACATTTGCGATTGTTCCGACACATTAACACACAGAAGCTTCTCTGCTTTTTTGTTTTTTTGGGGGGGGCTTCAGTGCACTCCTCTATCATCCCCACGCATCAGTGTTTAGGGAAGGTGTTGATTTCGTTACACTGTTATCACAGTAACCTCCTTTGTCATTCTCCCCCTCAGCGCACGGACACTTTTACTCAGTGAGGATCAGCGCGCTCCATAAAATGATCCCAGTCGGCGACTTGATACGATGTCACATCTCGTCTTATGTTTGACACATCCGATGACCAGCTAAAGAAACGTGGAGGAGGACGTTTCACAGATTTCGAGATTTTAACTGGAGTCCGAGCTACACACCGCCGTCCAGATGCAGTTTCGACTCTTCTCATTTGCCCTGATCATATTGAACTGTATGGAGTACAGCAACTGTCAGGCGCCGTCGCACCGCTGGAGGAGAAACAAAAGAGGTAACTAGAAGGTTAAAACCTTCCAGTATTACAGGAGCATCACTTTTAAGGGTTCGCAAAGAGTTTGTGTGTGTCCGGGGAGGTAACTAGCCTAAACAAGGTTGTTCACACACTCTGTAAAAAGTCCTCTTCGCTCCTACTTGTAGCCCCTGTTTTGTGCGCACTAAACACGGGCGGAAAGTTGTTGGGTTTTGTTGTTGTTGTTTTTCTTTTAGAAAATGAAATGAAATCTGAATTTTGTTTTCAACGCACGTAACTTAGTGCCGTCGATCCAAACCAGAACATTCCAGAAATCCATGCAAAAAGGAGAAAAAATGAATAGTTGTTTGAGCTACAGCTCATTCTTACAGCATCTCATGTAACCTACTGACCTCTCTAAAATAAGATTTTCCACATTGTTTAATGATTTCAGAGCCGGTAATTGGTGCGCAAAATGGGCCACGCGCATCCAAAATGACAAAGAGCGAACTGGATTAGCGTTAATTCAGGCTATCTGTGGATGTTCTGGTACCAGAAAAGGTGCAGTGTGTTGGAGGCACGTAAAGCGCTACATAAATAAATAGCGCTTTGGGTCTGTAGCGAGCAGGAGGTGACTTATTCAGTGGACAGATACGGAATCCCCGTCCTCACACTTATGGATGCCACATCTCAACTCCACCCTCCCTCCCACCTACCACCTCTTAAGCTGGTTTTAATTGATCTCATAACCACTTTAAACAGTTGGTAGGAAAAGCGCATAACAATCACCCTGCAGAGGCGCAGGAGCTGTGAGGAGGGGTCGGGGGCAGGAGGGGGGGAGCAGCACCTTTGTAAATACCACTCTCTACTCTGTATGAATGAGGAGCCAGCCGGATTAGGAAAGTGGCCCCTGCGGAGCCCTCCTCAGACCTGTGACATAACACATTGCCGAGATCCTTTTTAGGGTGACCGTGAGAGGAAATGTGGTCCAGTTTGCGCATGGCGCTAACAACCCACGTCTAAAGGTAGGACACTTGAAAAACTCATTTAAAGTCAAAGGGTGGTGGTGGTGGTGGTGG